AGTGCTATGACACGCGCTATGCACCCAGCTGTGCCAAGTGCAAGAAGAAGATCACCGGGGTGAGTGTCCCTCAGCCTGCCCCACGCCAGTCCTTGCTCCCTGCTCACCTCTGGGTGCCTGGCTCTGTTCCCCTGTCCTCATACCGTCCCACGGGATCCCTTTTCCCTTTCTGTCCTGAGTGGGGCTCCCCCGTGGCACAGGGTGGTCCTGCCCTCCGCTGACAGCATTTCCTCTCCAGGAGGTCATGCACGCACTGAAGATGACCTGGCATGTGCAGTGCTTCACGTGCACTGCCTGCAAAACTCCCATCCGCAACCGGGCCTTCTACATGGAGGAGGGACAGCCCTACTGCGAGAGAGGTAGGACCTGGGGACCCCAGGTGTCACACCACGTAGTCCTGGGGCACCGGCCACCGTCTCAGCTCAGCAGCTGCCCAGAGGGGTGGGGGGATGAGCTGCCCCGCTCTATGGGGCTCCCCCTGAGCCACGGGGAAAGCAGGGACCCCCCTCCTGCAGCTCAGAGCCTTCTATCCCAGTCCTCCCTGGCTGCCGCGCAGTGCCATCACTCTCACGTTGCCCTGGCAACGGCGGAGGATGTACATCAAAGGCAAGTGCTGCATCCTGGGAGATGAGGTTTGCCTCCTCCCTGCGGCCACCCTGCACGGCACAGGCACCTCTCCCGGGTGTCTTGGTCTTTGTGTCCCTCCCGAGGCTGGCAGCAAGTTGTCCCCAGGCTGTGCCTGTGGGAATCCTGGCTGTGCTGTGGTGGAACTCTGACCCTGGGCTCTGCCTCTCCTTGCAGACTACGAGAAGATGTTTGGCACCAAGTGCCGTGGCTGTGACTTCAAGATTGACGCTGGGGACCGGTTTCTGGAGGCGCTGGGGTTCAGCTGGCATGACACTTGCTTCGTCTGTGCGGTGAGCCATGTGCCTCCCTCCCTGGCTGCCGACAGGGGTCGTGGCTTTCCCTGGCAGTCGTGCCCTGCATGGGGTACACTAGCCCTGCGGAGTGTCTGATGCCATGAAGTTTTCCTGCATGGTTCTGTGCTGGTGGCTCAGGACCCTCTTCTGAGTCTCCTGCTCCCTGGCACCTGGGTGACACCAGTGCTGAGCCCTGGGCTGTGGAGGGGAGAACTGGGGTCTGACGCAGTTCTCCTGACCTTGACCACCTGCACTCTCCTCCTAGATCTGCCAGACCAACCTGGAAGGGAAGACGTTCTACTCCAAGAAGGACAAACCGCTCTGCAAGAGCCATGCTTTCTCCCATGTGTGAGGGGCAGGAGTTCAGCTGTGCTCATGTGTGCCCCTGGCCCTGCATGCTCCTCTCCCCCCCCCTCCCCTCTGCCCCCAGGAAGCCAAAGCTGGGCCCTCACCCCTTTCCC